AGTTTTTACTCACGATGTCTTTGGACTTTCTGTTAACCTGGACGCTAATCATGATTAATATAATTGTGTGATAAAAAGGTTCCTGCTCGTATATTTATATTCAAGCTTGCTTTCGTAAGGAGAATTGATTTGCTTTTCCCCATATTGAAAATGATAAAAATAAATGTTTTGGTTTTGAATGTAGTTTTTCAGATTGAATTTGATGTTATTATTCTTTTCGTTCTTGGTATAAGATGATGCATGGAAGCAATGTAATGAATTGTTGCTAGGGAATTGAAAATCCTAGCTATGAATAAAAGAGACGTAATCATGCTTGTGATTGTCTTCAAATTTTTAATTGGCAGTCTTGGCTAGATGATCTGTTTGCTGAGGCTCACTGGCTATCTTAGAATTTGTGAATATTTGTTCGCCACTGGGCATTAAATGCAATTCCTGTAGAAGTTTAGGCTGCCAATTTTTATAGTTAATACTATAATTATCATTTAATAGGAGCTATTTTTTTAACTCAAATCTTAGTGCAGTGCATGGATTAATCTTAGCTGAAATTTATGGATTCTATTTGAAGCACCCTTTGATACGCCTACTTCACTATATTTGTATGCCAAACCTTCTATTAAAGGTTATCGTTTTCTTATTTCTCTCCTTCCAATCTCCGACATCATTCATTTATTGATGAATGATATGCTAATGAATATTTATTGAACTTCTCCCTAAAGAGAATTTTTGGGCAGTTCTGGACAATAAAGACAGGATGTTCATTGTGATGTATTATAAGATTAATCATGTTTCAAATTAAGGAAACTGTTTTGTAGTATTTCTTTAGCCATTTTGGTTAATATCAGTATTGCAGAGGTTAAACAGAGTTATCAGTATGCTGAATATCATTCTAGCTAGCTTGCAATCATTTGTTGTTTGGATGTAACTTTATCATGCATAATGCATTGGAGCATGGGCGGCTAACTTCATTTGCGATCCAAAAAACAATTTTGGGGGAGAACTTAATGTTAGGGTTTATGAAAGCCTTTGATTTTAGCCTCACATTAGATGGTTGAAACATATGTTGGTATAGAAATTTCATGTGATTGACACTCACCCATAAAATTTTGGTTTGGAAACGGGTATGATCACTAGTGTAGATAAGCCAACTTTGATTTCATATTGATTCACTCTCTATCATGTATTATTAGAGGTTTTGGTTTGTTTGGGATCAAATGGTTTATGTAATTTATGGCTGTTATGACATGTCTGCCTTCTGCTATAGTTGAGCTAAGTTCAAGTGTGTGTGACTCTCTTGGTGCCACAATGTGATTGAGTGTACTCTTGGTGCATAATACTTGATAATGTTGATAAACTTTCATTTGAGAGGAAGTGGATTCAGAAATTTTCCAATCACCTCCCTCAGAGGGAGTGGATTCAGAAATTTTCCACCCCCCCCCAGCCAGCCCCTTCCCATTTGAATTTCCCCCCATGTCCCATCCCAAGGGGAGCGGGCCTGGTTCCGCCCCGTATACGTAACTCCTGGCCAATCTAGGAGGGACCGGTCTATCGGTTTTGCAACTCACTGAACTTTACTTTGGGAAAGTAGTATAGCTGAATTAGTGGAATGTTTTTGCATGTCAAGTCACAATCGTGACAATCTATTGAATTGAGTAATATTTGCAAGGTAAATAATGAAAACATTTCAAGTTCTACTTTTGGTAAATATTTTCTAAATTTCTTTTATCACAAGTATTGGGCATGATGCCTTAACATTTTTTCCATAAGTACAGAAGTCATATTGATAGTATTTCCTCCAAATAAAAAATGAACTCAGAAAATTGATGGATTAATTAATTTTCCCTCCTTTTCCCCCTTTTTAGTCTACTTTGATCTCACACTAATAAAAAAGTGGCGTGCATAGTTCATTAGACTCCCCCAGTGCAATATATAGGAAGGGGTTGATGCATGCTGTCATATCCTTGTTGTACACAGAGGTTAATCCTCTAATGATTTTTAAGTATTTTAACACGTAGAATATTCAATTTCTGATTACTTTTAATAGTTAAACTATCAATGGAACGGAGCACTTCATATTAAGTTCTATTTTGATGCAGATGCAAAAGGTTTATGGAGCTGCTGGTTTCTTTACTGAACCAGAGGAAACACACAAAAGAAAGCATCAGTAAGTTTTTATACTTTTTCTTTCCTAATTGTTCTATTTGGGAAAAATAAGAAAACTAATAACATTTTTTGTGAGTCAGCGTTTGCTTATTCACATTCACCAAATTTGGCTTTCCTTCAATATTTCTATCCTGTGTAATTTGGCTTGTAAAACCCTTGGAATTCAGATTTTTTTTGTGTGCAGTTAGTCTGTACGAATTGTTGAAAAGTTTTTCATTTAGTCAGTACGAACTAAACAAATTTTTTTTATAGAGCACATCGTTCCGGGACGAACGAAAAATATCTTATATACGATCTGTGTACAGAACCGATCGTCCCGGTACGAATGTAAATGTCGTCCGTACGAACGTAAATATCTTTTTATATATATATAAAGGACTGTTTGATCGTTTTGAGGAGAGAGAAAAGTTGGAGAGAGAAAAAGAAGGAAAGAGAAGGAAAAGCTTGGTTTCGGAGGTCGCGGAGGGATTTTCGTTCGTCGTCGCAGTTGGAAGAATTGTTCGTCTCGCAGTAAGGAATCCGAATCCTATTTCTGATTTCGAAGATTTCGAGTTTTGGTATTTTTCCGCTCAATTTTGTGTTTCCGTTACCAAAAAACGTGCATTAACTTTGTATTGAAGAAACTTTCTCCGCATAACTTTTTGTATGTTATAGAGAATATGATTTTGCACGTTTTGAATATTTTCTGAAAATTTTTCACCGAGTATTCTGAATTCTGTGTGATTTTTATCGAACAGAAAATTATCTGGATGTTGAAAAATAGTGCTACAGTACAATAAAAGTTTTGAAATGTCTACGTCGTTTTACGCGATCACTGGTAATTTGGTAATTTTTTGAAAGTGTGCATTTTACAATGACTTTTGTCTACTGTACGATGTTTTAAGGGTTTTCTAAATTGAACTAAATCATGTTTTATGGTTGCAATGCATTGATGAGGTGATGATGAATGTGACTATATGATTGAAATTACTGTTATATTACTGTGATACTACTGTGTGTGTGAAAGAAAAGTAAAGACTGGTTGAACCGTTGGTTGGAGACTGATTGATCTGTACAGGATGGTCGGCCGACGGGCTTTTCTTTAAATATGGTTCGGTGTTATCCTCTACTGATCACATGATTACTGATGGGAGTTATAAAGAGATGAATACTGTGCCGACGGGAAAAGAGTGACGACTCTGTTTACTGAGCCAACAGATATATATTACTGATACTGATACAAGACTAAAAACACCGTAATAGCCAAAGCTTTTACTTGTTGAGTATGACTACTGCACTGAATTGCATGTTTTAAAGCATTGTTCTTATTGATATTGTACAGATTTATCGTTACTGTACGGATTTACTGTTACTGCACGATTTAACTGTTATAGCATTGCTGTTCATGTCACTGGATTGTTATTGATACTGATACAGGCACTGATACAACTGATTCACTGTACTGACATTATGCATGTGATATACTGAGTAAGTGACATGTGATTCACTGAACACGTGATATAGATTACTAGATTGCATGTGATACACTGTGCACGTGATATTGAATAACTGGAATTGCAAATATACATTTTGATACGATTTTACTTCATTGGTTTGATTTAAACAGTCACGAACGATATTATTGATTTGCCGTTTTATACCGACTGATATTATTGAACCGATGATTTCTCTTTATACGACTGATATTATTGACCCGATGATTTATTAACTGATTTGATTAACATTACTGATACGAGGATTTCTCTATCGAATTGACTGATGTTATAGATACGACGATTACTGTATAGATTTGACGCACATACTTATTCATTGAGCTTTATGAGTTTTTCTACTGTTCACTGATTCTGTCACTGATGATTGTGGATTCAACTGTTTATGTATTGATTATTATTTATGCATGATTTCTGATTCTGCATTGACTCGATGATCATGTGTAAGTGACTGCTATGATTTGACTGATTGACATGCATATTGCTTCTGTACCATGCTTTGATTTTAGTTGTAGGTATTTCGGTGACCTGCTGGGCTTTTTAAGCTCATTATATGTGGTTAATGATTTTCAAGTCAGGGCAAGGGAGCAGGATTATGAGGTTGATAAGGAATCTTCAGGTTTATGTTCTTTTTGTTATAGCTATTTTTTTGTACTCAGGACTGGATGGATATGTGATTATTGTTGAAGATTCTGAGTATTGTAAATGAACTTTTGAGAATGAATAGAAATATTTACAGCGATATTTTAAATTATAGATTTTTGTTATACTGTTTGTCACTGATTGATGACTATGGATAACTCTGGTAGAAGATTGATTTAAAGGATCGACTGAATAATTCTTCCAAGTTAGATCTTGGGGTGTGACATGGCTTCCCTTCAATATTTCTGTCCTATGTATAGATTGTCTGGTTCAATAAGGTTGAAATTCAATAAAAAAGAACAAAGAAACGGAGCGGAAGAACTTACGCTCTCTTATGCAATTCAGTGGAGATTCCCGTTCATTTTGGAGCCCTCTACTGTAGCTCTCCGTCTCACATTCTCACACGCGAGCCGAGTTCGACTTCAAACCATGCTGTCCTGATCTCCTCCATCCGGTCACACCCAGCAAGGGAACAAGCTGTGTGAAACTGCTCCCATTGCACTCGGCCGGCCCGACCTCAAACCAGGGCACGCCGACTTCCAACTCCCGGCCTAGTCTCCCTCAAGCCTCACTTTCGACCGGCTCAGACTCCCTCCTCCACTTGCAACTCCAACCAAATTCCCGCAGCCTCCTTCAGTCCCACCCGGCTTCATTCGCGCGAACAACCCATACCCGCATCTCTACATCCGAATGGCACAAAGCAGCCTCCCGATCCTTTGTGTGAACCGAGCCAGACCTCCCGCCTCTGTTTGAATCGGAACCCTCCGTCCAAGGAGTGGCACGTGAGAGACTTGGCCGATCCTTCCTGAGCGCGCTGATCGTATCAATCCGTTTCCTCCCTCACACTTGCTTGCCGCTCAATAGAGAGTGGAGATCGTCTAGACTGATGGTTGAAAAGCTGTTTTGAAGGCTTGATAGTCTCATTCAAAATGTAAAGAATGACGTAGTCAGAATTGATGGAGCCACCAACAACAGTTATGTTATAAATGAGTATCTTAATAGTAGAAAGGTAGTTAGTCCTAGACTGATTTTTTATGGTGAGAGAGTAGAGTTCATTCTTCAGTTGAATAATTTTGGACCAATTGGTAGAATAGATGGAGTGGCAGGAATCAAGATTGAGAATGTAAGATAGAATAGATGGAGAGATAATGGAGAGAAGGCAACAACTAAGTTTTGCCCGTGGAGGAGCCATCGAATGTACTATGGGTTCAAAGTGAGTTGCCCAGTGTCCAAGACGAGGTGTTTTGGTGGGTAGGGTGTTATGTCATCGAGATGACTTGCAAAGCCATTGGCAATGAATAGTTTATGTATTTGGGAATGCCAAGTGGGGTAGTTGTTATCAATAAGCTGGACGTGTACAATGCTTTTGAGACAAGAAATTTTAGAGAAGTTGGAATGGAGATTTCATCCATGGCGTTCGAGATAGGACTGTGGGAAGTTGGAGTTTTGGTAGAGGAATTTGTTCAGTTGGCCATAAGAAGAAGAATAAAGAATTTGCTTAGGACTGTTAAGCAAGTAGCTTTGATATCATGTTGAAAACCTAAAAGCAATACAGTATTGGAAGAAGGAGAAATACAGAAAGCAGAGCAAGCAGTAGAATGAAGAACCTCTAAGGAAATTGCATGTCCGAATTCCAGTGAGGATGATTTACAACTATGACTTCATTAACTTCAAATATGATAAATGGATACATTTATATGTGTAATAGTAAGTGTATAAATGCAATATTTCCCTGAGTAGTTCGTGATCAACGGTGTATACTAAATCATCAGCGTAGTCAGATGTGTTGCAGAAGTTAGTAGTGGCCTGTTTAGAACCGGTTGCAGGTTGAATCATGAAGAGTAGTGGAGAGGTGGAGCTGCTGTAGAGAATGATTGAAAATAGCAAGCCCTTGTTAATGTGGTTGGATCGGCAATCTCGATTATGATTGAAAATTTGTAAAAACAAAAAAAAATCATCCTTTGTCTACAAAATACACTCAGAAGTTGCATTGAAAATTGCTTCTACGATGCATTTTTCATACAAGAAAAATTGGGATCATTAATAAGTACCTTGTCCTCTCGTAGTTGTTACCTTTTACACGTTGGCAAGCCTTCATTTATCCGCATAATGACTTTGCTTTGCAGGATAAAACAATTAGCCTCTAATTTCCAAAGTATAAATGATGAGGACATCAAGACATGGAAAGTCTACTAGAGGCGTGGTTATCGATCTACGACCACGATTACATCACACTACTTTTGATTTTCATATTTAGGATTGATGTATTATTTTTATTTTATGAAGTTTATTATGTTTTTCCCTTTTTTGCCCTTACTTAAGGGCTTAGGTATGTGTAAGCCCTAGGGGCATTGTAGTACTTTTATTTTCTCATTGTATGAGCTATTTAAAGCCTCCCTCTTCTTTTTTTAGGGGTAATGAACGAATTATAAGAAAATTCCTGCACGTGTTCTTTGAGTTGTGAGAGTTCTAGGAGAGAGCTTCAGAGAGATCCCTAGGGAGGGAAAATTGATCACCCACCAACCTTGGAGACGGCCGGGTTCATGATTTGTTTTATTGTTATTTTCTTTCAATCTCTTTTCTTCCTAGCCGGCGGATTTCCTAGCCACCCCCACCTTGCCGCCGGCCAACGTCTCCCACCTCCACCACCTCAAACTACCACACACCCTTCCCCACTACAACCACCGGCTCTCTTACCCAAATACCCACCCCACCCACTGGTCCTTCATCCAACCAAACCCAAGCCCAAGCCGCCCCCTTTCCTCTTTGGAATTTCTCTCTGTCATTGCTTACAATTACTCCTTTCCTAATTGGGTTGAATAATTTAGGTAACTCAATAACTTTGCAAAATTCAAATTTATTTGAATTTGAAAAGTTGCCTATAATATCATTCCTATCTTAGGAAAGTTCCCAAATCCTCTCCTATTGATTTTAATTTGAATTATGATGAAATATCTCATCCCAAATTTGATTCCCTAATTTAAGGAAGCATTAAAAGCTTCCTTAAAACTTCTCCCTATCCCATTAAGCCGCAGTCCCCATCCTCATTAAGTCCTTGGACTTATTTCCTAAGCCCAATCTCTTCTCTTGGAAACAATTCAAACCTTTTTTCCCCAAATTCAAATTGTTTCCTAAAATAAAATTCTACTTTAGGAAATTATCCAATCAAATCCAAATCAAATTTGAATTGGATTGGTAGTAATTCCTCCCTCCTTAATTGGGATTCCCAAGGAGGCAAGCATTAACTCTTCTCCCCAATCCCCTCCACCCTATGGATGCTGCCAGCCCCATGCCTCCCTCTCCAATTTCTTTCCAAACTTGGGGTAGGGAGATTGAGAGGGAAACAATTCAAATTCTTCATCCAAATTTCTGATTTGAAACCGTTGCTATTTGGTTTACTTGCTGTCCAGAAATTCCTGGATGCTAGCAGAGGTTGTCTTCTCTTCCAAACCTGAGAGAACTGCTGCCCAAAGCCACCTACCTGCTGTCCAGTGATCCCAACAGAAGTTCCCTGCTGTCCAGCCCCTTGGGAAGCCACCGTTACTGCCTGAAACTGGCCTGGAATCGCTGTCCCAGGTCGGCTGCTTGCTGTCGAAAGGTTCAAGCTTGGGTTGTTGCTGTCCGAGCCGTCCAAGAAGCCATCAACTGCTGCCCAAGCTTACAAGAAGGTTGAATATTAACAAATGGTGAACTCTTACCTCTTCTCTTGCCTTCCTCGTTGATTGATTCTTACTTGTGGTTTGATTGATTCATGCAAAATCTTGCGACGCTCTGCTAAAGCCTAGTATTTAGTGGGACTTGTGTGAGATCTTTCATAGCACCACTCTTATTGTTAGATTAGGGATTTTTTGTTGAAACCCATTTCGTTTGCAACGTCAAGAGTAATTGATTGTTATGGGGTTTTTACTTTTCGCAACTAACTTGGCTTAAGCTTGTGTTTACCGCTATTTATGTTTTATTTTATTGTTTAACTCACCATAAAGTGTAGTTAATTTGCTCCTAATCATCAAGCGTGCAAAATCCTTATCTAAATCATATTTTTTTATATATGTTTTGCATCAATAAATCTCAGAAGCTGCACAATTGATGCTTTTTCTTGGAACTTTGAGCAAATTTAATCTCAATTCATGCACATTACAACCTCGAACCCACGACATCTTGTTTAGAAGTTTAAGCTCCTGGCCCACCAATAGGCTTAGGTGGGCTGCATATAGATGATTGTTTCTATAAAGCATTTTTGATACAAGATTGGTCTTGCACTCTTTTATTTTGAATTCTTATCCATATTAATGAGTTTTTTTATCCGTACCTTTTTTCATCCATAATTGCTGGCAGGGAAACTGAAAAATTGACAGAGGTTTCCGTGAGTGACAAATTGGAGAGTTTTCGTGCTAAGAAAGAGGTAAGCCTTCTTTGATGGATCCAGGGACATGCCAATGCCCTATGGGCTTCCATGACCTTGACCTTGAAATCCCTGATCCTCATTTTCTTCTCTAATATTTGTATACTGTTGGTTCAATAGCTATTTACTAGAATTAATGACATGTCTTGCCCATTATTTATTTCTTTTATATGCGAGCCTTGTTTTAGCTTTTTTTTTCTCTTCTATGCAAACAGCAGATTGTTTATTTATGTATTTTGTTTTGAAGCACTTTAAAGGATTGAGTTTTCCAACCATCTCATCAGTTGGTCCAAATGCTTCAATCATTCATTATAAACCAGAGGCTGGAACTTGTGCAGAGCTTGACGCTGATAGCATATATCTTTTTGATTCGGGTGCACAGGTTTTTTTCACCTTATCAAATCCTTGCAGCTACTATTTCTGCTTTTGAGCACTATTGTTTTTCTTTATTTCTGCTAACATTTATTGTTTTTTGAAGTATCAAGATGGAACAACTGACATAACAAGGACTGTTCATTTTGGCAAACCATCCGCACATGAGAAAGCATGTTATACTGCTGTATGTGGACTTATAATTATTTCTGGATTTGTTTTTCACACAATAAACATGTTATTACCGCTGCGTATGGTTTTATTTTATCTTTATTTTAATGCTATCCTGTTTGATTGCTTTTCAGCATAGTTCTGCATTCTTAAGAAAAACTTGGAGATTAAAAATATATACAAGTTAAACTTACAGAGCAACCGAGGATAGAAAAAAGTAGAACTGTTGAAAAGTAGTAGCTTTTCTCTTATTGCTACAAGAGCTGAAATCAAGGATCGCATGACCTGGGTAAAGCACCAGTATGACATAAACTTGGAATTAGGTAACCAAATTTCATTAGCCACCACAGACATAAAACAATCCGTTGAAGCATCTTTTTTCTTTTATTTAAGTTGGGTTTCAACCCTTCTTTTTGGCTGCAATGAAGTTTGAAACCTGGACCTTTGGTATAGGAAGACGTAGCATAACTCAGATTACGGGGAGTTCAGCCCATAGGTTTGAGCATCTTATGCAAAGTGTCTGCCCTTGAATTCGTAGATTGGTGCACGCCATGCCTTGAAATCTTGTCATATGACCTTTAGACGAAAGAAAGTCACTGAAGTATAAGGAATGTTATCGTATTTCAAGTTTTGCATCCATGCTCCATTGTTATGCTTTGGTACAAAGCCTACAACTTGAACAACTGCATAAAAAAGGGGAAGATTGGTAATAAAATTTATTAGTTTAATTCTTATTTCCTTCAAAGAACTTAGCAGTGAATAAAAACTATTCACCATTAGAATATGTACCACTAAAGCACTCTCATAGTACAAAAGAGCATAGCAAGATTGTATTTTGATGACCTAAAACTATAAATTTGATATGACTCCAAAAAATTCATTGGTTTGGCATGAATCTCAATGTGATATTTGAATTGGAAACTTCCAAAATCAAATTTAGGATCATCCGAACTCCGATTTCAACAAACTTAAAATTGAACTGAACATCTCGACTAATTGAACTTATCGGCGAAACAAATGATCCAATTTAGGTGCAAAAAAGATCAAATCAAGCACTTGAATTATATTTGAAAATTTATGAACATAAATTGATGTATTAAATGACTTTCGATTATGACATACTTATAGTCAAATCGAGCAGCTCAATGAGACGAATCTAACAAGCCAAATTTCACTCGATTCTAACATCATTAAGACGTTCAAATATTTGATAAACTATCATATGAATCATATAATAGAGTGCTTTGAACTCTGGTCATATTTATCAAAATGTTCATCCCAAAAAGATTATAAATAAAGCTTCTTTTTCTACAGAAGTGAAGAGAGAAGAACTGAGAAAACTAAAGAGCTCTATTGCATTTCACGGCTATCACCGTTAATGAACCACCACCAATAATCATCTCTAGATTTTTGTCACATCTAATCCATTTTTTGGGTTTTTAATTATTCACATGTTAATACTAGACTTTTATGATCCCTACAATGAGAATCAATCAATTGTTTCCTACATAATCCCTCTTTTTAATGGCGAGAAAAGGGAGTTTTTTGTATCTTTTATTCTATAGTGGATTATGCAGTTGGGTCATACCCCATAGTTTTTCTCTTTTCAGATTTTTCACATTAAAAATTTTCTTATCTCCTACAATTTCTTTAATGTGTGTAGTATTCTGTGAAGCACTAAGACATTAAACTCCAACTCTATTAAAGAAAATTTTCTAACATGTAACAACTCATTCTATCATGTCTTAACATCCCCATGCAAATCAAGAAAACACTATTTATAGTGTTTTTCATGCCAAAAAACCTCCGAGTTGAATCTAGGACCATAATCGTAAGTTTCAAATGGCTAATAAATCAATCAATACTCTATAACAACATGAATTTCATATGACTCGAGTGGTGAACAAGACCTCTATATAAATGATTTACAAATAAAATTTTCGCATGATATCTAAAATAGTAGATGTTAACAGTCACTAATTGCATGGCTTTATAATGGTTAGCTTGAAAACTCAAAAATTGCTAGTTGACTACTTGACTTTAATTTGTTTCAAAATAAAATTGTAGATGAAATATAAGGAACTTGCAAAATGGCTATCAATGTTAAATGAATGACTCCATCTAACTTCAAGTGAGAACAAAATAACATCATGTTTGAATAAGAAAAAAAAATTCATTTAATTACTAGTTTCTTTTTTTTTTTTTGCGCTTTGAAAACATACACATGCATAAAGTTGGACAATTAGGATAATAAAACTACTTAGTTATCATTTCAAATTTGTATCAGTTTTCCCAGAGGAGCTTTGGTTGATATAAAACTTAAAAAAAAAGCTTCTCATACCATCAGATAATGTTATTCGCTATTATTACACTGTTACTCACAAATCATTTACGGATTTACCTATCCTTTGAAACTACAATTCAGCACTCAACTCATGGGCCAAGTTTGGTTGGACTATTCCAATCATAGATACATCCATGCATTCATCAATCTATACATGGACACATGTCATTCATCCATCATTTCCCTCTATCACTACATAAAATCCACTGATACCATCACAACAAATTGCCATATATTATAGACTTCCCATCATTGCCCTTTACCATCACCAAGTCCCTCAATTGGTTGCCACCCACCACCACCAAAACCCATAGGGTGCTAATTGTAGTCGAAAGGTGAGGCTCCGATTATTGCAGGAAAAATAATCAGGTTTATGAACATAAAAAAAACTAAAATGTTTATTAAAGATGCAAAAAAATTGAAACAAACATTAAATAAAAAATAAACATTTGTGGGATTCAAAATTTGTGCCCCGGCCTCTCTGCGGCCCCTTTCTTCCTTTTTCTTTTCATCGTCGTCGATGAGAGTTTTAACGCTTATAATATGAGAAAAATTTTCAGAAGGTAAATTGGGTTTTATATAAGACATTACCTAAAGATTTCACCCTTATTTTGCGAGGACTTTATTATCTGAGTTCAAGTTTTATATAGGCATAAACCCTGATAGTTAATCATCTCTCCCGATAGCGAGAGAGAATTTATCGATTAAGGCTAGTCATCAAACAAATACATAGTATCCGATATATAGTAGCAGCATGATTTGGTATTTAAAAATTTAATTTTTAAAATTAGAAATTCACCACCTCGTACTTAAAGCGGATGGTGGGGGGAGTGATGATAGACCCAATCAAGATTCTATGGTTCCGTCGTCCCGGTTCATCATGATCCCTGGTCTACTTAGTTAGAGAAGGTAGTCAACCCATCCTGACAGAAGAATCCTTGTCGGCAACAATTGGTTGCTTTGTTCAAGGGTACAAATTTTAATCCACCTTAGCTAACAAAGAACTCTGTGCTCTATCGGTCATATCTTATCAATTCATTACTCAAGGATTTAGCGTCATTCGGGAACATACGGACTCTGACCATGACCGTAATATAATGGTGCCATTTGGCAGCAAAACCATCCAGTCAGAGGGTCCCAATCATAATCGTTTACTGATTGTTCCATTTGGCAGCAAAATCATCGGCTAGAGGACACGTGCCACGTCATTATTGGCAAGAGATGGATTGAGAAGGAATCCTAGTGATATTCTTGACCATATATTTGCTCTTTGTGAGTTGAAGTTAATTTTAGATTTGTCTTGACCCCAAACTATTGCAGAGGGTGAATGTGTATTTTTGTAAGTGTTTAGGTGCTTTATTTCAATTTTAAATATTTAGTTTTGGTGAATTTTTAATATTGATTTTTGGTGAGGATTTTGGAGGCATTTTCAAATATTTGGGGTGCTTTCCGGTTGAGATTTTATGTCAACACGACCATCATTGGAATATTTATGAGCAATTTTATCTCATTGGTTGAACCTTGTCGATTCTATTAACTTGCCGACAGAGGATATGGTTCGTTGTTGACTTTATGCTTTTATTAGTGAATTTTCTATATTATGGATCTTGAAGGCCTAATATGAATGTAATATGTGTGACACGTCTTCTAGTATTGCTTGTAGGTGGAGCGTTGTGTGCATTACAAATCTTCAGATGTCGTTTGCGGGCGAGCTGCGCTGAACACAAATCTTCCAGTGTTACTCGTAGGCATTTTCCTTTACTACATTTCTTCTATATTTTTGCTTGTAGATAGCACATTTTGTGCATGACAGACCTTCTACAGTTGCTCGTAGGTGTTTGCATTTACTGCATATCATCCACCTTTTCTTGTAGGAGATTAGTGTATTTGCTAGATGTCTACTTATTGTTGACTGTAGGGATGATCTAGCATCTACTACATTTTGTTCATCGCCACCCGTAGGTGGACTACTGTATGCATAAGGAGTCCTCTACAGTGGCTCGTAGGAGCTTATATGCGTTACAAATATGTTGTCTCTATTTGTAGATGATACATGTTGTGTGCATTGCAACTCTTTTAATTGCATTTGTCGTATATCAACTTCCTTTACCTGCAAGGTGCTTATGCATTTGCTAGATACTTGATCTGCATTGATTGTGAGGGTGCCTTTGTAATCATTACATGTCGGTTGTGGTCATTTGCAGGAGTTTGGCATATTTGTTTACGAGTTGAGGTCGACTGCATGAAAGTTGATATACTTGTTGCATATCTCTCATTGTCATTTATAAGCAATTTGTTGTATACATCACAGGCCTTTTGTTATATTACTAGATGATAAAACTATCATTGTTGCATTCTCTATGTATGATTGCGGGTAAATAACTATGATGTTGTCTCTTGCAATTGCCTACGAGCGGACTACCATATTTCTCTGCAATCAGGTGACACCAATTGCATGTAAACTGCATTTACTTCAAACTCCCGGAACATATCTTGGTAAATGAGTCAATGTGTTTACTGCATGTCAGCCTCCTTTTCTTGCAAAAAGGTTAATATTTTTGCTTGCATGATTGTTGCGAATACTATGCACCAAATACTACCATTCATATGTGGTTTGCAATATTTGTTAAAGGATTTTGTGAGTTTGCTTGCAATTAGATCGCCCATTATCC